TACCTATTTCAACCTTAAAAGTAATCCACTCCTCTGGATTCCTATTATCCCTGCCCGATGCGCCGTCCAATTTGATAGGAAGCATCCAGGCTAAAAAAGAACGCACTTCTGCAAAAAAGTGCTATTCGGCAAAGTCTCGCTCGTTCAGGACGATTTTAAAGCAAGTTGAGCCTGATCATCGCCAAAAATTGTTGGAAAAGCTGGAGTTTGTCGTGATTGAAAAAGGTAATTTACTTGATTGCATGTAAATCTATGCAGAATATCTTCCAATTGAGTTTATTTACGCCCTACAATCGCAAAACGATTCAAAATATTACGAGCTCATTGACGACCTGTACACCGAGTATGTGGAGGGTAAGCCTCCCCAGCCATCAAAGGCATTCATTCGATTTTTTTATGATGCAAATTCAAGTCCAGCCCAAAGTGAATTGGCTAGCACGGAAGAGCTGCTCGAACCCATTTGTAAGTCCATATTGTTTAAATGTAGTTACGGATTGTACGCAAAATTTTGCCACATGTAAGCGATCCTTCTGTTTCTCTTGCAAAATAATGGCATTGAAAGGATGATTCTAGCGCAATTATTTCCTTTTTGGACTGGTTTATGGGCATTTTTATGGTTTCACGTCATCTCGCTTAGCTTCGATATTATTTTTGCAGAAATTGAGCCGATTGCCTGCGTTTGTGCCTTTTCTTATCTGCGCGTCGGGGGCTCCCTTGTAATTGTACAAATTAAAAAGAAAAAAATTAATTTTCATGTCTCTTGACGATAAAATTATAATTGAATGGTTCAGCGGAATCGGAGGCATGCGTTTCGCCCTTGAAGCGCTCTTAATGGAGTCTCAATCGAAGCCGTGGAAGTTTATTTCATTCGATATTAACGAGGTTGCTAATTCCGTCTACACATGTTCATTCAATGGCGAACTTCCTCGAACCAAAAGCATCGAAGCCCTATCGATGGCAGAGATCGAGTCATTGAACGGTTACATTTGGCTTTTATCCCCACCATGTCAACCATATACGTTGGGAGGTTCTCAATTGGATGAAAAAGATAGTCGTGCTTCTGCGATTTTGCATTTGATAGCTGTATTGAAGGAGATGAAAACACCACCCGCTTATCTGTTTTTGGAAAATGTGCCAAGATTTGAAAATTCCGCAACTCGGTCGCTACTTGTCGAGGCTTTAGTGATGAAAAAATATTCGATTGAGGAATTTTTACTTGCCCCAACGGATGCAGCCATTGCAATCCCCAACTCCAGGCGACGATATTATTTGCTTGCTAAAAGAGCATCATCTGCATCTTTGCCCCCAACCGTTATAGAGTCATTAAAAAGTGTTGGATACACTACAGGCCAATTTTCAGATGGAAAACATCTTTCAGATTACATTGAAAAAACTTGCTCTGAAAACCTAATTGTTCCATCTCGGCTAATGGAAAGAGAAAGCGGATTTAGGTTCGATGTAATTTCTGCTAACGGGGTTCCTTTTGGACATAGGTCTGAAATTTCTGGACCTCCAGCATGTTCCACATTCACAAAGGGGTATGGAAGTAACAGGATACGAGGAACAGGATCTTTGGTTCTTTTGCAAGAGCCCGAAACGCCAGAAATAGATACCACAGATGTCAAGCTCCTTCTAAAGATGGGTGTAAGGTATTTCAGTGCTGAAGAAATTGCTTCATTACATGCGTTCCCCACAATTGAAGGCACATCGTCGCAAAGGAATCGCCTTAAATTTCCTGACCATATTACTTTGATCCAAAAATACCGCCTTCTAGGAAATTCCCTTAATGTAAGGGTAGTCTCCATATTGCTGTCAAGATTGCTGTCTTTGCCATTCCAAATTTCGAAAGATCAATGATCGGTTAAGGTTGATCAAGCCATCCTTCGCTACCACCTTAAAACCACCTTAAGACGAGTTGAATTAGCTTGTTATCGATGAGAAAAGTTTAATTAGCAAATATTATTATAAGATCCCAAAGTATACTTTGATGTGCTTCTGCTCATAATAAAGCTTGACCGGGAATTCGTCCAACAGCAACATTATATAACCCTTGCTAGTGGTTAAAAAATATAATTGATTTGCAATCTCCATAAAAAGTTGCGCCTCCAAAGCGAAAGAGGCCTTTTGATCGAGAGGGATCCAGTGACTAAGCATTAGCGATGATCTTGGAGGGACCACGATTGGATTTTCTAAAACGGGCACATTGAAGGAATTGATTCTGGCAGCAGGATCGAAAGAATTGCTTGCTTCTCCAAAATAAACAGAAAAGTCTAAGAAGCCTGTAATAGTTACAGGCACGTCCATCGGATTTACCATTCTAAATTTGACAAACAGATTTCCAGTAAGAGATCTGGAAATCTTGATGTATTCCACGAGAGGAATATTAATTCCATCAATCTTTGTCGATATAACCAAGTTCGAAAATGGCTTGGATAAAAGAGATAATGCCGAAGAAGTTTCGGACCCTCTCATTTGAATATCAATTTTTTTGCCCAACATATAGTGAGAAAGAAACTCCTCCAAAAGWGGCGTATTTGGGGGAAGGGTTAAAAGACAATGCGCCTTGAAGTTATTAACCCCCGGAAAGAGTATAAGCGGATTTACAACGGAAATCCCTATAAAGGTATTATTGTAGTACAAGTCAAACTCAACTTGGCCCAAATTGGAACCAACGGGGGATGGGTTGGTCAATTCCAATTGAATTTCTTGAAACATTCCATCTTCAGGGTTTGCCTTCAGTACTTTGACAGATTTGATTGCCGGTGGCGGATTGGATAATGAGTTCATTCCTACCATCTCCAAATTTTGAGAAATAGTCAGATTTTTTAACAACATAACACCAAGGCCACTTTTGATGACAGAATCTGCTTGTCCATCAAGCAACATAGAAAATCTTGGGCCAGCAATAATTGACTCAAGAAAAGAGCTCATCAAAGCTAATGAAGAATTTGGGACCTTAATGGTTCCGACCATCTTTCCATTGACCTCCCTAACAAGCTGATCGCATAAAACAGGGGATAGAGGAAATTCGGTCAGTGCAATAGCAGATAAGCTCTTTGGGTCTAAAAGTTTGATTTCCTGCGAAAGCTCCGTGATTTTAAGCGGAAATCCAAAGGGAAGAGAATATTTGGCGCCAACATCAACTACAATCGGAAATGCAAAGTTATTGTTTTCAGCCGAAATTGGAGAAGAAAAATCAATAAACATTTGGACAATCGAAATCGAGGTGATAGGTGAGTAGTCTTTAATGCCAGGCATTTTCAAACTCATCGCCAAGTTATTGAAACAGTTGCGAAGCCAAGAGATCTCTGTGTGATTGTCAAGGGACGAGTAAAGATAATCCCCGACCACTTTAACAGAAGAATCCTTTCCTTTGATAAAATCATTAAAAAATCCATTTACTATTTCCATTTCATTTGGGGCCAACTCAAAAAGATACCCTGAAATGAACCATTCGTTTTCTCCACGAACCAAGTTCAAATTAGGGAGGGTCACTTTGCCGATAAGGACATCTTTATAATACATTTTAAACCCAGCAGTACCCGCAGACATTACAATTGGGCTTGAATTTATGAGTCTTGTTTTCACATTAACAACGACACCATCAGCAGATTCAGAGGGTAAATCAAAAAATAAGATTTGCTGGTCAGAAAACCCGTTGAGCCCTTCGATGAACAGAACTTTATCCAGATTGATCGGAAATGTCTTATAAAGATGTCCTT